ATTTCCGGTTCGGCCGCCGATAAGGCCTTCAATTAGCAGTTTAAACATATAACACGAACAGATCAAACAAACAGTCAACAGATAAAATGCAATTCAAACAGATGTATTCACTCAATTCAGTTTCAATTTCGGTCAGTCAGTTCAGTACTTTAATCAGTTCAATTCTCAGTCAGTTATCAGTCATTATCAGTTCCGTTTAACAGTAATCGGTGATTATCGGTAATCAATCAGTCATTAATTAGTAAACAGTATGAGGGTTGTTACACTAATTAAAGAGTTTAGGTAAGGATTTAAGCCTTTACTTGTGCAATTGAGACTTCACACATGAATTCAAGAGGAATTAGAACAAGAATTAAGCTTTGAGATGTGAATTAGAAGTTAAATCATACATGCATGTTCATTTCCACAAATGTTGAGTTTGATTTCTAAGAAATTCTCTCATGCATGCCATTCTTTTCACTTAGTTTTGGGAATTCATCTTATTCTACGCCATATCTAAATTGATCATGGTTTGGACAAGTTTGAGTTCATAGCATTATGCACGTGCCATATATATATATAAGTTTAAAAATTGGTTTGAATAATTGACTTGCTTTTGAGCTTTGATTTTGCAAAATGATTTTGAATTCACAATGTTTTATAAGTTTACACAAGTTTCCTTAAGTTTTTGGCCCAAAAGAACATGAATTGCAGCTTTGAATTGAGTTTTGACGCTTGGAAGCAAATCTAGAAATTCCAGAATTCTGCTTTACCGCTCGAGCGACAAAATCTGCTCTTGAGTGACCACTCTTTGTTTTGCACTTCTGGCTCGAGTGACCAAAAGTTGGCACGAGTGTAAATTGCATGCTCCCAGAAGTTTACAAGTTTTACAGACTGCTTGAGCGACTAAAGTTGCATTCGAGCGAAAACCTCAATCTTACACTCAAGCGTGCGTCGAGCGAAAAATTCACTCAACCAATACTTTTGGAAAGTTTACAGACTGCTCGAGCGACCGAAGTTGCGCTCAAGCGACCACTCTTATTTTTAACCTTCCACTCGAGCGAAGAAAGTTTCGCTCGATTGAAGACCCTGTTTTCAACAAATTTGACTAACTGTTTTGAATCACATTTTAGCATCCTCATTGCATCTTAGGTATTCTTAAGCCATAATTAAGATATAATAATGAGGATAAGACTTAGAAACACACTAAGAACAAAATAATTAAGTTCAGTGCCTTCTGAATGTATGTTTCAATATGTATCTGCAATGTGTTGGTGTAGGTCACGTGCCATAAACTATCTGAATCGAAGCTTTCTCTGTTTTGCTACCGAAGCCATCTATGAGTAATAACTCTGTAAAGTTATGTTTAACTTTAATTATTTTCTGATGATATGAAATGATTAGTTTTGTATGAATGAATGATTGTCCAACTTTTTTAAATGTATTTGTGGCATTCTTAGCATCATATGATATGCATCCCTTTATGGGTCATCGTAATGTCTTTTTGTCCATCCCTTTATGGGTCATCGGAATGCCTTTATGGCCATCTCTTTAAAGGTCATTGGAAACATCTCTGTGCACATGAGTCATCGGAATACCTTCATGACCATCCCTCTATGGATCATCGGATTTGTTAACGCTAATGGATGTACCACATATGATCATAAGAAATGTATGAATTGTGAATATGTATATGAATCTGTTTCTCATTTGAAATCTGATATGTATAAGACTCTATTTCTATTATGAATCTATTACGGACATCATTCATTAAAACCTTTACTCTGTTATTACTCACTGGGCTCCAACTCACTGTATTATTTTATGTATGTAAGTGAGCAAGCGCGTGGCCAGGCCTAAGCTGCTGCCTAGAGAGTTTTGTTTTTGTCAGCCAGCCATAGTGCCTCCCGAGGAGGTTTTCTTTTTGTGAAGTGGTTGAGTTTTGTGAATCAGTTATAAGTCTTAGACTTTTGTTGTTTTAAGGGAACAGTTCTTCGTGTTATATGTTTAATGATGATGTAAGATAGATATGTGTATGACATCACATGTAAGTTATGCATATGGAAGTTTTAAATTTTCTGTCTCATGTATGCCTGCACAGCTCAATGGACTATGTATGCTTTTATATGTATGTTTCCACTAGCCCCTTAATATGTGACAGTTTGTTTAGAGGCCTTTAGTGATCCCAAGATTACTGGCCGATTATGACACTAAATCTATAAGGATGAGTTTAGGTCATGACAAAGTGGTATCAGAGCACGAATTATATCGCACACATGAGTCCATATAAGCTATAGGATGTCCTAGAAAAGAATTAGAGACATTTCATCTACATGTGTGAGCGTATGTGTGTGTGTTCATTTTTTTTTATAAATGTGATAACTGAATCTGGACATGAACATATGAAATTGAAAAGAATGAACTAAAACTGAACGCTCTTCACACTGTGAACAAGATTATTCTTATGTTTATTAGTGCTCTGTTTACCTATAGCAAATGGAGTTGAGGCTTGCACGAGCCGAATAGAACATATGCTGGAAGCCCTAACTGAATCAATGAGACAGCAACAAAGGCAACAACCTCTGCCTTCTCCGTCCTTTCCGGTCCAAGTAGAACTGGTAAACACTGACATTATCTCATTGATTCAGAAATTCAATAAGATGAAGCCACCACTTTCTTTAATGAAATTAACCCTCTAAAAGCTGAAACGTGGATGCTGGAAATGGAAAAACTATTTGAAGTCTTCCCATATACTGAAACTCAAAAGGTTTTGTTGGCTACCTACACTTTGAAGGATGAAGCCTGATGATGGTGGACACTCATCCAAGATAGCAGTGGGACTTTGACTTGGGATCAATTCAGAGAAATCTTTTATGAAAAGTACTTCTCTCAATGCTTCCAAGATAAAAAGGGGTCTGAGTTCCAAGAACTTAAGCAAGGCAATATGTCAATAGCAGAGTATAAAGCCAAGTTTACTGAATTAGCCCGGCTTGCTCCATACATGGTGGATACCGATTACAAAAAAGCTCGAAAGTTTAAAGGAGGTTTGAACCTAGATATATTTGATCGGGTTGAAACTACTCAAATATGTGGATGTCCTTGACAGAGCTTTAATGGCTGAAGCTAATTTGGCTGCAATGAAACAAACTAAAGCTCCAACAATCGAATGGAGGGGCAAGAGGTCCGGATTTAATTTTAAGAAAGGTCGATCATTTGCAAAGAAGCAAAACACAGGATCTTCTCGTAGCTCAAGCTAAAGGGGTGGATCTACATTGACTTTCTCAAAATGTGGGAGAAAACACAAAGGCGTTTGTTACCGAGCAACAGGTGCCTATTTCAAGTGTGGTAAAATAGGCCACATGATGAGAGATTGTCCATTCAAGTCTAAGAATGCCAATCGCCCCGTAGTAAGTTCAGTCAGATCTGCTTCTATAACGAGGTCAAATGCAAGAACTAATGCCATGGGTAACATCGGGAATGAAACGCTAAGACAAGGGAGAGTGTTCGCACTAGTGCCTGGGGATGTACAGAATACCGAGTCTATGGTGTCATGTATAATTTTCAGCTGTGCCCAAAATGCATATGTTTTGATATATTCTGGTTCTAAACACTCATTTGTGTTGTATGCCTTTTCTCAGAAATTAACTAGACTTTTAGAACCCATGAGTTATTTATTATCTGTATCTATGCCATATGGGGGTTCTATAGCATGTGCTTATGTTTATCCGGCATGTGATATTATGATTGGTGATGTGATGTTGTACGTTGATTTATTGCCATTGGGTATTGATCATTTTGACTGCATACTGGGTATGAACTGGTTGACGAAGTACTGTGCAACTATTGATTGTGTGAATAAATTTGTTGTGTTTCGTCCACCTAGGTTACCAGAATTAGTGTTTGTTGGGAATGTGGTAGTTCCTCTCCTATATTTGATTTTTCCCATGAAAGCTGTTAAACTGCTTAGGAAGGGATGTAGGGGTTATATATGTTGTGTTTTGACTGAGACTTTTGCTAGTTCTAATGTGGAAACTATTCCTGTTGCTTGTGAATTTTCCGATGTGTTTCCGAAAGAATTGCCTGGGGCCTTAATTGATAGAGAAATTGAATTCACCATTGATGTAATACCCGGAACACAACCAATTTCAAAAACCCCATACCGGATGACAACTTCTGAATTTAAATAATTAAAAGTTCAACTCCAAGAACCCTCAGACAATAAATTTATCCGCTCGAGCACTTCACTTTGGAGTGCTCCAGTTTTGTTTGTTAAAAAGAAAGATGGATCGTTGAGATTTTGTATAGACTATCGGGAATTGAACAAAGTGACTATTAAGAACAAATACCCACTACCTCGAATAGATAATCTGTTTGACCAACTCCAGGGAGCACAAGTGTTCTGTAAGATAGACCTTAGATCCGGGTATCACTAGTAAAAATATATAATAATAATAATAATTATAATAATAATAATAATAATAATAATAATAATAATAATAATAATAATAATAATAATAATAATACTTGAAAGATAGTTCTTTTAGTAAATATAGCTTATGCTGAATCAGACCACTAAATTTGAGAAAAACTACCTTCGAACGTAATCAAAACTAGGTATGACATGTATGACTCGTTGAAAACAATGATGGAGCTTTATATATATTTAATTTTTAATTCACTTTTGTTTGTGATATGAGAAATATATATTAAAAGATTTTGAAGATTAAATAATAAATATAAAAGAGTTTATTTCCATTTATGACCGACCCCATTTGATAAGACTTAAGGTTTGATTTGGTTTTTGGTTTGGTTTAGTTTGTTTTTATTTATATAAATTATAATTTAAGTTACTGAATACGCAACCAAAATTTCTAGATCCACCAGTGATATCGTGTCCAGATATGTTATTTAAAAGCATGGTTAGGAGTAAAGTTTGTTGGAAAATAATGATTTTTCGGCAACTTTAATTTGAAATTAAAGTAGAATCCAATCGCCGGTTGAGGTGGGTCAGAGTGGTTTTGTATTCTTTTAAGTGAGAAGATTGTAATACGAAAATAATGAGTCAAAACCATTGAGTTGTGAATAAGAATTGTCTCATAAAGTGGGCATCAATAAAGTTGGGTTTAGATTTGAACTTAGTCTTGGTTTGGACTGGGCCTAGATTTATACTTATGCATGTGCTGGGTTTGGTCTTAGACTTGGACTTGGACCTAGTCTTAAGCTTTGGGCTGAGTTGTGTTGGACTTAGTTTGTGCATGTGATTGAGATTGGGTTTGGATCGGGTTGTGACCCAACACCTGTATCCATTTTGCAACCCATCTAATTTAATTCTCAGAACTTATGATTATATACACATTATGATTTATATAATGGTTTTGAAGTTTTGAACCTTTGTAACTCTAGCCCTAATGGCTACAGTTGATGACATTTGATGACCCCATTAGTGTTAGCCTTCATGGCAAAGGCTCTCCCCCACTAAGCCTTCATGGCTAAGGCTCTTCCCTAATAGTATAAATAGATGCCTTTCTCCTCTAACTTAGTAGGTTGTTTTGAGAGATGTTTTGTGATGGAAAATGAGATGGTGTTTTGAGATAAAAAGTTGGAGATGGTTTTTTACACCAAAGAAAATTTTCCTATCTTCTTTTGTTAGTCTCTTCTTTGGTTCTTGTTAGAGAGAATAAATCCATTGTCAAGTTTGCCGAAACTATTCAGAAGGTGCTTTTGTATTAGCTAATTTCGATCATCATATCTTGAGAGACAGACACCAGCGTACCTCCAGCATTTATCAGAATGCGGTAAATCTGTTTTAAGAAAATTGTTTAGTGCAAGTTTCGATTTGCTTCTTTTCTTATATTTGTTCTTAAATTTTTCAATATTTAGTTTACAAAGATGAGTTCTAATCTTTAATTATATATACTAATAATTTGTTCTATTATTAATGTAATTTAATTCATTTATGTATTTTTAGTTGTGTCGTTTATTCTGTATTTCATCCTTTTAATAATAAAATTGTTTCGTCATTTCTATTTAATTTATTTTATATATTTTTCATTTATTATTATGAAAAAATACCAACAATCTTAAAACATTTATTTTATTCTAGTGACTTTTGGAATTAAAATTAATTTAATTACCTAGAGTTATTAGAATTTGAGTTGTTTGTTTCAAATAATTTATTTATGCAATTTATTTTATGTTAATTAGTTGTTATTGCATAAGTTATTTGATGGTTAGTGCTTAAGTTGTTAGGAGTTATATTCAGAAATAATGGGCTCGGTTCGAGGAGTACCAGTTAACTTCTATGAGTGATGTAATTCTGGTAGCAATTTTTATTTGCTTGGGAATTGATTTGTTTTAACCTATTTTATCTCTTGAAAAACTTATTTTTAAATTTTTTTCCCATAAACTAGGAGTCAACATGCTCTTGAAAGTTTTGTATAAGGTTAACTGGGACCTCTCCAGTCTTCCTAGAAACTTTCCTGACCATGTTCGATTCTAGGGTAAGTGGTGAGATTAATTTTGAATTAAATTTCAGACTTTGAATTTTCTAGTGTTAAGTTTAGTTTTTGGAAAAACAGAATAGTGAAAATCTATTGTGATTTTTCAGAAATGGTTTCAAGAGGTGACAACAAAAAATATTGTTCTACCTGACAACCTTAAGCCTTGCGAGGTTCTTAAAGGAAGATTAAGAGAAATCAAGTGTGATTAAATAAAATCATAAGATTACATAATGATATCTCTGAATTTATCAGAGTCAATTAGTATATTATCCTTATGTTAATTATAGCATGTATGATTACTATGTGACTTTGCTTGAAAGTAAAGATGAGATAACCCATTAGGGTGGGTGAATATATTCTTTTTGAATTTTTATAATTCTGAATATATTCTTGAATTGGTGGCTACTAGTGAGTGCAAGATCGCTGATCACATAGATAGAAAACTGATAGTTCTTAGGGGGTGTTTGTAACCACCCTGACCTGTGATTAGTCGATAAATCATGATTAAATATGCCTAATAAGTAATTAAGATGAAATTCTGGATTAATTGCATGTGTATTGCATTATTTGTGTTTATATCTGTCTGTTGTAGAAATATCTGTTTGTCTTTCTGTTTTTTCTTGCGAATTGAAGGCCTTATTGGCATCCGAATACGAAATTGACATAGTATATGTGTTATTTAGAAATTTTAGAAAATTATGGTAGGTTAATTAAAATTCGATTCGGAACAAATTAAATTTGAATAATTAATGTCAATTTGATTAGCTTAAGTTAAGTTTAATTAATTTTCTAATCAAGCCTATATAAGGCTTATACACCACTTGAGTCATCTTTTCTTCATCATTTTTGAGCCTACAAAAACAAAACGTGAGAGAGAGGAAGAAGAGACCAAGAGGGTTTGAGATCAAAACTTGAGATTGGAAGGAATTTGCTAGAGAATTAAAGGGAATTGGTGTGGAAGCTTAAAGACATAGCAATCTAGAGCCTAATTAAAGAGTTTAGGTAAGGATTTAAACCTTTACTTGTGCAATTGAGACTTAACACGTGAATTCAAGAGGAATTAGAACAAGAATTAAGCTTTGAGAGGTGAATTAGAAGTTAAATCATACATGCATGTTCATTTCCTCAAATGTTGAGTTTAATTTCTAAGAAATTCTCTCGTGCATGCCATTGTTCTCATTTAGTTTTTGAAATTCATCTTATTCTACACCATTTTATCTAAATTGATCATGGTTTGAACAAGTTTGAGTTCATAGCATTGCACGCATGTTATATACATATAAGTTTCAAAGTTGGTTTGAATAATTAACTTGCTTTTGAACTTTGATTTTGCAAAATGATTTTGAATTCATAATGTTTTACAAGTTTACACAAGTTTCCTTAGGGTTTTGGCCCAAAAGAACATGAATTGTAGCTTTGAGTTGAGTTTTAAAGCTTGGAAGCAAATCTGGAAATTTCAAAATACTACTTCTCCGCTCGAGTGATAGAACCTGCGCTCGAGCGACCACTCTTTGTTTTGCACTTCTGCTCGAGCGACCAAAAGTTAGCTTTAGCATAAATTGCATGCTCCCATAAGTTTACAAGTTTTGTAGGCCGTTCGAGCAACCAGAGTTGCGCTCGAGCGAAGACCTCAGTCTCACACCCAAGCAACCGTTGAGTGAAAAATTCACTCAACCAGTATTTTTGCAAGGTTTACAGACCGCTCGAGCAACAGAAGTTACACTCGAGCGACCACTCTTATTTTTTACCCTTCGTTCGAGCGAAGGAAATTGCGCTTGAGCGAAGACCCTGTTTTCTGCAAATTTGACTAAGTGTTTTGAATCACATTTTAGCATCCTCATTGCATCCTAGGCATTCTTAAACCATAATTAAGACATAATAATGAGGATAAGACTTAGAAACACACTAAACGTATGTTTCAATATGTATCTGCTATGTGTTGGTGTAGGTTATGTGCCATAAACTATTCGAATTGCCATTTTCTCAGTTTTGCTACCAAAGCCATCTATGAGTAATAACTCTGTAAAATTATGTTTGACTTTAATTATTTTCTAATGATATGAAATGATCAGTTTTGTATGAATGAATGATTGTCTAAGTTTCTTAAATGTATTCGTGGCATCCTTGGCATCATATGATATGCGTCCCTTTATAGGTCATCGGAATGCCTTTATGGTAGTCCCTCTATGGGTTATCGGAAACGTCTTTGTGCACATGAGTCATCAGAATGCCTTCATGGTCGTCCCTCTATGGGTCGTTGGATTTGTTAACGCTAATGGATGTACCACGTATGATCATGAGAAATGTATGAATTGTGAATATGTATATGAATATGTTTCTCATTTGAAATCTGATATGTATAAGACTCTATTTCTATTACGAATTTGTTATGAACATCATTCATTAAAACCTTTACTCTATTATTATTCATTGGGCTCTAACTCAATGTATTATTTATGTATGTAGGTGAGCAGGCGCGTGACCAGGCCTAAGCTGCCGCTTGGAGAGTTTTGTTTTTGTCAGCCAGCCATGGTGCCTCTCGATGAGGTTCCCTTTTTGTGAAGTGGTTGAGTTTTGTGAATCAGTTATAAGTGCTAGACTTTTGTTGTTTTAAGGGAACAGTTCTTTGTGTTATATGTTTAACGATGATATAAGATGAATATGTGTATGACATCATATGTAAGGTA